TATATATATATATATATATATATATATATATATATATATATATAGGCCTAATCAAATGAGAAGTAAATAATTTGTGGTAATTGTGAGGTCCAATATGAGTCAATCATTATAGATAATGTTATTTACTAAAATAAAATAAAGGGTAAATTAGTAAATTATGTTGATTATTCAATTTACTTTAATTAGTTTAATATTACAATTTACTTTAATTAGTTTAAGTATTTTAATATATGTATATATATATATATATATACACACAAGGACCAAATCCGATAGTCTTCTCCGGCACCCACCACCACTCTCCTTCGGTCATCTTGTCTAACCAAGACGTTGTCTCCGATGATCGACCACTAAACACCCACCAGTGAGCATTACTAACACTTGGTATCACAGTGGTACGACAGTTGGTATCACACCCTTCTCAAAGTTTACTTGGTGTGTTTTGGGTATTATATTGTATGTATTTTGGATATCACATTGTGTATTTTATATATCACATGGTGTTCGTCAGAGACCAAGGTAGGAGAGAGAGAGAGAGAGAGAGAAAGATGAGAGAAAAAAAAATACCTAAAATGCCATTTTAATCATAATTTTAAGTCAAATTACTAAAGCTATTAGTTTTTTTAATTTATTCATTGATTTGTAGTTGAGATTGGATCTTACAGTTATCACAAACTAATTATTTCTCCCTTGAATAGACCCCTATATATATTATATATGTATGTATATATATATTTCTCTGTATAAAAATATTGTTTTACTTTTTTTTTATAGAAAGAAGACAACAAAATAGGCAAAAGTTTAAAATGACGCTTGATTTAACGAAGTTAACGGGGACATTATTCAAATAGACCATGGCCAAAATAAATTGAATACCACAAGAAACAAATCTACAATAAAAATACTGTGAGGACTATAGTCCATAAAACACCAAACCAAAGAGACTAAATCCACAATTCACTCATTTAAAATCAAGGGGGTGTTTTTGATTGCTTATTTAAAGTGTTTTAACTTATTCCAATGTGATATCACTAATAAGGAGTTTTTAGTGTTTGGATGGGAAAAGTAAGAAAATACTTCTACCAGTTTGACACCGGCAATAAGAAGTTTTTTATAAGTTACTTTCTTGTAACTTATTAACTAATTCCGGTGTGGTATCGATACTAAAAGATTTTTAATGTTTAGATGGAAAAAAAAAGTATTCCATCTATTTTTTTAGCTTATCCGGTGTGATATCGTCGTAAACTAATTCAAATATATTTTTTAATAAAACTCCGATCTACCATCACATAAGTTGATAAACAGTTTAAAAAAGTTTTTAAATAATCAAAATTCCAAACACCCCCCAAAGTATTCTTGCCACGTTTCAAAAACTTGAAGAATAAAGTGGTCGTAACAGACACGGGTAAAATTAATGAGTCTCCCGAGATGAAGTCAAGGTCAACCGGCCATAGTCCATTACTCATGCTTTTTTTTCCCTATACCAACCCATGCTTATATATATATATATATATATATGATATATACCCTCTATTCTTACTTTTACATCTGGGTTTTGAAGCTCCTAAACATTTTAATAAGACCATATGATCAATGATAGTTTAAAATATTAGCCAACAATGTAACATTTGGCCTACAAATACCTGCTTCTATAACCTCATTACCGTCACACTCAATCCACCAAATCTGAATTGGTAGCTGAATCGAAACAGGCACTCGAAATGGGTAATCAGCCGACGACGAGGATAGCGGAGGATCGAAAGAAGACGATCAAAGGAAGAGTGGTGTTGGAGAAGAAGAACTTTTTGGTGTTTGAAGTCACTGACTTAGGCGCATCGTTTCTTGATCGAGTTCATGAGTTACTTGGGAAGAACATCTCTTTCCAGCTCATTAGTGCAGATCATCATGAATCCTCCGGTACGTCTTTCGTCCATCTCGGATTTCTTCGTTATCGTAAATTTGCATTATAAGTAACAAAGTCTGTTTTTAGAACAACATATATGTATAAATAAATATAAGACTAGACTGTTTAATATGACTTCAATTTATAAGAACAAATGATGTATGTCGTATGTTACATTTACAACCAGTTGAAGTTTGACTTTGCAGATATCGGTTTGTCCCATACTCGATCCCATGCTTCTCTATCATTTTCTTTCATCGCTTTTAGTTCTAAATTGCATGAAAACAGCCTTCATTAAATTTAATTTAGTATATAATAATAACCGATATATATATAGACTTAATATCATGTGAAACTATCGTGTTTTTGTGAGACCCGTAAGATCACTTTTTTTATACTCGAAACTTTACAGTATATATATTACCTGCTTTTTTATTTTAATCGGATGTTGATGGGTTTGATTATTTTAATTGGTGGTCATAATTAAGTCTTGAAAAATAAGACTATATATTTTTTGTTTTATTTAAAAAAATAAATATGTCAATAAGTAGTGAACCACCTTTGATTTATACATTTTCCACTTAAATTGCTACCTTCTTGTAATTTGTATTTAATCCAATCCCAGAGTTCAAATTATAAAAAAAAAATTGGTTTTATAGGAATTGAAAAAATCCAAATATTTTATAAGACTTAAATTTATTGAATCATATGATAAAAGATCTTATATGAAAATGTTACAATAAGTTTATAGTGGACGTTTTTAACACATTACAACAAAATTGGTTTTATAGGACGCCTAGATTGTTTAAATGTCCTAATACAATACTTCACATAACTTATGTTTGTAATATAAAAACTTGTTTTTGTGGACGTAGAAGGAAGCAGGTTGAGAGGAAAGCTTGGGAATCCAGCCATCTTAAAAGACTGGTTTACCAAAATTGCCCCTCTCAAGATCAAGGAATTGACGTATGAAGTTAGCTTTGATTGGAACGAAGAGATGGGAATTCCAGGGGCATTTATGGTAAAAAATAATCACCACAGTGAATTTTACCTCAAGACCCTCACTCTAGAAGATGTTCCTGGCCATGGACAGCTCCATTTTGTTTGTAATTCATGGGTTTATCCTTCCAAACGTTACATAAAGGATCGCATTTTCTTCGCCAATAAGGTATTAGCCTTATCTTTGCTGTTTCTAAAAAGACATATTTGATTTATATTTTCAACTATCCCCAAAAAGGTTCTATTGATTCAAAAGTGATCTATTGGGTTTACATAAATCATTCCGTTACAACACTTAAACATTTTAGGTGTTCTATCAACAGAATTTTGTTTTGTTGTGTTGTGATGATATCTAAGCCAAGGGGTCTGCCAATATAGTCTCGACACTGTGTGCAACATGTACCGGCTCGTTTCGACACTCTGTGACAATCTAGGCCCGTCTAGCCTCATTTGAAGGGGCCATGTCAGTGGTTTCTTACCATTTAAGGAATTTACACTTTAGGACAATCTTTGTCCATCTAGCTAGTGACTGAACTGGGACCATTTCTCTTTTACATATGTTCAAACCTCGTTTCTCTTCTAAATAGCTCTTTTCAAAATCTCATAATCTAACGGGCTTACCACGTAAATCACTGCCTCATTGGACATATTGTTAATTCGTAGGCGTATCTGCCTGGTGAAACTCCCGAATTACTACGTCCGTATAGAGAAGAAGAATTGGTCATCTTGAGAGGTACCGGATCCGGGATGCTCCAAAAATGGGATCGGGTTTATGATTATGCATTCTACAATGATTTGGGAAACCCCGATGACAATGTAGAATCTGCCCGACCAGTTCTTGGAGGGTCTTCTGAGTACCCGTATCCTCGTAGAGGGAGAACAGGCAGGCCACCAACCAAATCAGGTTATTTAAGCTATATACGATTTTTTGTATTTAAGGTTTCTCTTTTGATAACTTTGAAGGGATTATCAGTGGAGTGGCCTTGACTTTTGACAGATCCTAAAACTGAGAGCAGGCTTCCAACATTCTTCAAGGGTTTAGAAATATATGTTCCAAAAGATGAGCAATTTGGAGCCTTGAAGCTGTCTGGTTTCCTTGGTTATGGGCTGAAATCCGCTGTTCAATTCTCTGTCTCTAAGTTCTGGGCTCAGTTTGATGGCACTCGTGATGAGTTCGACTCTTTCGAAGATGTACTCAAGATTTACGATGGAGGATTAAAGCTGCCCGATGGCGTTCGTGAAAAATATCGCAACATCCTTCCTTTGGAAATGTTGAAAGCACTTGCTCCATCAGATGGTGAGGGACTTGCCAAATTCCCTAAGCCCCAAGTTATCACCAAAGGTACCAAATCTCTATCTCACACCAATAAGATTGGGTTTATGTATACGACATCAAAAATTAATGTCAAAGTGTTTTAATAGACTGTTTTATAGGACTTAAAGGTCTATAGAACCAAAAAACTGTAATATGTAAAGTGTTGTAACAAGTTTATCGGACGTTTTAACAAGTTTTTTAAAACAAAGTGATGCTTTAGGTTTTTCACGGAACATTTTTGAGAAGTCTCATATGAGCACGTCTTTTTATAGAGCATTTTAATAATGTCATAAAAAATTGATTGGACGTTTTACATTAAAGGTACCATAAAAACTTGTTTAAATGTCTAAAACATCCTATAAACTTATTGTAACGATTTTACGTTGGATGCACAAGAGCTTGATCCTATAAACTTAAGTGTTATAAAACATTCTATTAGGACGCTTAAAACATTTTTGGCATCCTATAAACCCGATTTTGTTGTATTGTATAGGTTGTTATGTTTCTTTCACGCATGCTAAGAATCACCATTTGTTATTTATTTAACCTTCTATGTTCTTTACTCACGAGATATTTCCAATGGTATCGGATCAGATGACAAATCTGCGTGGAGGAGCGATGAAGAATTTGCAAGAGAAATGTTGGCTGGAGTCAACCCCGTTTGCATTCGTCTACTCGAAGTAAACTCATATAGCTTATAATCATTCATTTGTGAATATACATGGTTGTTTTTGCTGTCCTATACACGTTTGATGAGTTCTTTGACTTTTACTTGTAGGAGTTTCCTCCAACAAGTAATCTAGACTTGGAATTATATGGTAACCAAAACAGTTCCATAAAACCTTCCCACATTGAGCAAAATCTAAATGGTTTACAAATAAAGGAGGTAAGTTTAATTTAAACCCAATAGCTAGTTAATTCACATGTGAATGATCATTAGAAAGTTCAGTTTATAAAATTCGATCGTGCAGGCAATCAAGTCGAACAGACTATTTATACTCGACCACCATGATTCGCTGATGCCATATGTGAGACGAATAAATGCAACACCTACCAAGATTTACGCAACACGAACCTTGCTATTTTTGCAAAAAGATGGAACTCTAAAACCATTGGCAATTGAATTGAGCTTGCCTCATCCTGACGGAGATCAGCTCGGCGCCATTAGTAAAGTGTACACTCCAGCTAAACACGGAGCGGAAGAGTCTGTTTGGCACTTGGCCAAAGCATATGTAGCCGTGAACGACTCTGGAGTCCATCAGCTCATAAGTCACTGGTAGAAGCATTGAAATAAAAATCTATTGTTCCAAATTTCATGTCCACCAATCACATAAAACCACATTATCATCCATTTATGAAGTAATTGGTAGGACAGAAATAAGACGAGGGAATTTTGAGTACTTCTCTAGAAATGTGAACCTTTTTGTTACCAACATTTGATTTGTATTTCACAGGTTGAATACGCATGCTGTTATTGAGCCGTTTGTGATTGCAACAAATCGGCAACTAAGCGTTCTCCACCCGATCCATAAACTTCTTAAACCTCATTTTCGGGATACGATGAGCGTCAACGCCTTTGGAAGGCAAGTCCTGCTCAACGACGGAGGTCTTGTTGAGAAAACGGTGTTCCCAGGGAGATATGCAATGGAAATGTCATCTTTCATATACAAGAATTGGGTGTTAACTGACCACGCACTCCCCGTTGATCTTGTCAAGAGGTACATGGTTCATCTAATCTCGATATATTTAAATTAGGACTACTAACAAGATTGCTTTATAAGATGTCAAATATGTCTAAATGTCCGAATGCACTGTTTTATATGACTAAATTACACTATAACAAAATCGGCTTTATGGACACCAACAATGTCTTGTACTTAAGTTTATAGGACCAAACATTTGTATGTCCTTAAGGCACTGCAATCTTAAATTTATATGACGGCTGAGGACGTCTTAAAAAGGCTTTCAAGGACATCTTTGGAATAAAGTGCCCTAGTAGCCCCGTTTATTGGACACTATTTGAAAAAAGAATTGTCTTATAAAATGAGTGTCGTGTAAATAGGTGTTTTTATAGGACATTTCTCTAAAGTCTCCTATAAACAGGGCCGGTCCTAAGATTTTTGATGCCCCGTGCGAAAATAATAAAAAAAGCCCCTAAGTCTATTTTTTAAACAACGAAACATGCGACTTTTAAAGAGTTTGGAACATAGTCAAGCTAAGTATCTCATCTCCATGTTGATTTACTCAAAAAGTTACAGGTGTAACAATTAAAGTCTTAGGGCCTATTTGTTAGGAGCTTAATAAGCTTAATGAGACTAACAACTTATTCACTCAACTATGCATGATTGTTTCGTAGTGACTTATTCAGTAAACTTTTAGGGCCTAGGGGGAGCTTTATATAGAAAGCCAAGTTTTCTTTTCTAAACATGTCTCTCCCAACTAAAGAAACGCTCCTTACATCTATGAAAAAACTCTCACAAACAAAAACTTTTCCAACTTATACAAACAGATTAATCCATACAAACAACTTTATCCATACAAAACTTAATAAAAAACCAATCAAACGGCCTCTAAACCTAATGTGGTAATGTCAAACCTCAAAGTAAACAAAAGCCAAAAGAACAATGATAAATTGTAAAATTCATAATCTTTGTTACTGTGCATTGTAAAGAACAAGTGCCCAATAATTAAGATAATATCACAATATGTTGTTAATGTTGTGGAGCGCACTCCACCCATGTTGATACGGTGATGTGCTCATGTGCATTGCAAATTTCAATTCTCGGATATTTTAATATGCAAAAGGAAGACTCATTATCAAAATGACAAAAGCCCCTTAGCCCCTTAGCCTAGTAGGTCGTTAACCCACACGATCACGCATGACACAACTTTATGATAATCAGTTAGAAATTTAGATTTTTTTTAGAAAAAGATTTAAAGATTCATAAAATCATAATATGACTCACACAACAACTCGGTAAGTTTAATCAATAGTAGAAATCAGTCATTCAAGATTTTTCATCTTTGATTTTTTGAATCTAATTCCATGACCCTTAATCGGCTGGAAACAAAACTCAATGCCTTGAAAATCGAAATAGTCGAACTTTGAAGAAAACAATAGAAATTAGATTGAGTTGTTGGAATGATGGCGCTAACCTATTCACGATGTGCATTCAGTATCCATCATTACTGGGCCTTGGGCATGTTTTTATAGTTAAAAGCTGAATTGTCCAATTTCCAAATTATTAAACACAAAACTAGTAATAGATGACAACTTGATGTCCCTTAATTTGATGCTCTGTGCGACCGCACGGACTGCACGTGGCTAGGGCCGGCCCTGCCTATAAAAGACTAATAGGGCACTTTGTTTTAAAAGTGTCCTAAAAAGTTTGTCAAGACCCTCAACAGCATTTTACATTTTACGTACTTCCTACAAAACATTATTAGATTAATAGATTAGACAAAGAAAGGTATGATCCTATATACTTAGCCGTTTACCGGACACTTATTCGGTAAGCGTTTACTGGTAAAATTTAACATTATTATTTATTTACCAAATAAAATTTATTCCGCCAAAATGACATCGTATGCAAAAATTTACCTGGTAAGCACTTACCATGGTAAGAGTTGTCGTCTTCACTTACTGGGTAAGACTCTTAGTCCTTGTCTCGCTTTTACCGGGTAAGTTTCTTGGTCTTTATCATATTCATCCGGTAAGGTAATGTGACTTGGTAAGCGCTTAGTAAACGGCCCTTTAGTCCTACTAAGTAGTCTATTCGGAAACTTGAACACTTTTATAAACTCGATTTTGTAACAGTATTAAGTTTAAACTTGTGATGATGCATTCTAAGCAGTACAATATACTAACACATGATTCTGTATGTATATATATAGGGGAATGGCAATTGAGGACTCAAACTCTCCCCATGGGCTTCGTTTACTGATTGAGGATTACCCATATGCTGTTGATGGTCTTGAGATTTGGTTTGCCATCAAAACATGGGTTGAGGACTACTGTACCTTCTACTACAAGAATGACGAGATGGTTCTAAAGGACCTTGAACTCGAATCATGGTGGAAAGAACTTATAGAACAAGGACATGGCGACAAGAAACACGAGCCATGGTGGCCAACACTCGATTCTTGCCATAATTTAATCGATACTTGCACTACAATCATATGGGTAGCTTCTGCTCTTCATGCAGCAGTCAATTTCGGTCAATATTCTTACGCTGGATATTTCCCGAATCGTCCAACCATAAGCCGTCGTCTTATGCCTGAGCCACACACCAAAGAGTACGATGAAGTTGAAGAAAACCTAGATAATGTGTTGCTGAAAACGATGACTGCTCAGCATCCAGCACTTATGGGCATATCGTTGATAGAGTTATTATCGAGGCATCCATCGGATGAGGTTTATCTTGGACATAGAGAACCCAATTGGACGATGGATTTGGAACCTTTGAAGGCATTCGAGAAATTTGGGAAGGAGTTGAAAGACATCGAGGAGAGAATTGAAAAGAGGAACGGTGATAAAAGTAGGAGGAATAGGGTTGGAGTAGTTGATGTACGTTATACTCTTCTGCAACCATACAGTCAAGAGGGACTTACAGGAAAGGGAATCCCGAATAGTGTGTCGATATGAAGCACTACGTATCTTCATCAAACAATACGTATTGTATCGACCACGTTTTCTAGGATCGTATGTCGATCGGGGTTATGGAAGTCTTGTAACGACCACGTTTTCTTGTTCTTCCTACAAAGATCAATCAATATGGTCGTTAGTTGATAAGAAAGCAAAATGAATATCAAAACATAATATATATATATATATATAGAACCCATGAAATTATGATATTTTACTTGATTTTTTTCTATCTACTGTTTGGATTTAGTGTATAGATTAATATATATATATACATATATATATATATATATATGTTTCACAATGTGAACAATTTTTTTGTGTTTCTAAAACAAAAAGTACAACTAAAAAGTTTTACATTGTGAAACAAATACATATGATTGTGAAATAAATGTATGTTAATCAATACATTCAATTCAAGTCATAGATGAAAAAATATCACAGCTTTTAAGATTGTCACAATTTATTGGGTTCTCAAATGATTAAGCTCTTGTGTATATATTACGAGTCTGTGTCAATGCTGCACGATGTTAATTAATGGAGCCCTGATTGGATATCACACTGTCACGTCCGATGCTTTGATTTATGATATCAGACTCGTCTATTCGTTGCAATATGATGGTCATTTCGTGGCAGAATTATTGCGAAAATTTGAATTACTTATAACGACAACGGGTCGTCGATAAAAATTAAACATTGAGTCACAACCGTATATGCGAGTGTAGTAATGGTGAACCGATGTCAGTTATTTGTCACCAGATGACGTAATTAATGCTTTTGTTCAGATGCAAATTAACACATACAGCCAAGAATGACTTTATTACAAATGGTTGACATGTCATTTTCATCTTCATTAAGGACAAAACAATTGATATTATTATATTGTTGGTTGTTCAATTAATTAATTGTCATGTCCCCCTTGGTTTTGTGTACTTTTTGGTAAGATCGATCAATGGTCCATAAAGATGGTCATTGTGTTTTAGTCAAATTCGTCGTTTCAAAGACTTTTTTATGTTTTTAGGTTGATTTCGAGAAAAATTTTGCCTTTTTTTGATTGATTTCTTATGAATTCTTCTCTTTTTTCATAATGGATTTTGAGAGACTTTATTGATTTTTTGGTTCATATCCCTTGTATCTTTTAATATCCCAAATCACCCCTTAAAAATTTAGGAGTTACACCTTTCATATTAAAGAAAAAAAACCTACTAATAAAAAACAGTTGAGCAGATGCACGGACCTTCAAAGTGTTCGATTTTAACTTGAATTTCTTTTATTAACAATTTGTTAGAGATAACAAATACCAAGAATACTCCTCTATATTTAGTGTCTCAGTTATTTACAAACAACTGCAAAAAATCTGAACATTAAATTAATGATATTGATTTTAGCATATTAAAACGAAATTCGGTTTTCCTTGATAATCAGTTATAACTATCCTATTAATCACTAAGGCCTTGTTTGTTTTTTGAAAAAAAAAAAACTCTTATTAGTTTCCTATGTCTGATTTGTTAAGAGATATGGTCATTCAGACTGTTTTTTTTTAAATTTTTGAAGGCACTTATATCTTATCGTCCTCTTAACTGGTAACATGTAAACCAACATCTTATTTGTCTCTTATTGTTCTTGAAATCTTTAGCAACGACGTTTCTCAATCGATTAACCTTAATCGATCATTTCTCTCAATTGATCATTACCAAATCAATCCTCGTATCTTTAAATTAGTGTATTTTAATAGGATTTAAATGTGTTAAATACCGTTAATGACATATTTTCGTTTAAATGAATGCTAATTATATAATTTAAATATATATTTCATAATGATGATGAATAAATATGTTAAATTGTATAAATTTATCTTTTAATTCAACATTATAATTTCTTAATCAGTAAAATAGATAGTTTAAACAAATTCAAACAGTAATCAGTTTACAAAAACAAACAGTGTTATTGATTTATATTTCAAACTTCAACACCACCTCTTATTAATTGAAAGTGAAATAAGACTTCAGACTTCAGGCTTCAACATCTCTTGAAAAACAAACGTCACCTAAGATATAATTCATTAAACTTATATGACTTGTTGATTTGATTTATCAAAAACAAAATGACTGAAACGATTAATTTGGAGGAAATCATTTGACAACTAATGTTTTTTGTATTTTTAAAAATTTATATTTTATCCATTGAAATAGACATTTGTTTAAAAGATTAGGTTGGCCCCGTGGTCTAAGATCTCTATTATCGTGTTTGATACGTTATTATGTACATAGTATTTAAAATGAGTTAATAGCTTTGCTTTCTAGGAGAATCAAGTCTGAAATGATTAAGAAGGTAAAAAAGGTAAAATATTTTTTTCGTTATTTTTTATTGCACTCCCGATATAAGTCATCAAGAACAAATGTCATTAATACTGAGGTATGTAGATATCTCTTCCAAAATTGTTAGCATTGAGGAAACTTTTCTAGGATTTTTAGAGGTAAATGATACCATGGGCAAAGTTCTTGTTTGATGTTTTACAAGCTGAATTAAAGTGTCTTGGTCTAGATATAGATGATGTGCGAGGACAAGGTTATGATAATGGTTCAAACATGAAGGGAAAACATCAAGGAGTATAAAAGAAGCTATTAGATATAAATCCTAGAACATTTCATACTTCTTATGCTTCTCATAGTCTTAGTTTGACTTTGTGATATAGCCAACACTTGCGGTAAAGCTAGAGACTTTTTTGGTATTATTCAACGTATATATATGATATTTGCTAATTCTACTAAAAAGTTGGCAAGTGTTTAAAGATAATGTAAAAGGATGGACAGTCAAGTCGTTGTCAACGACTCGTTGGGAGATCGTATTGATAGTGTAAAAGATATAAGATTCAAGTATCATTTATAAGAGAAGTTTTGCTTCACTACAACAAAAAGAGGTTTATAGGACACTTTTTTTGGGACACTTTTCAAAAACCGTTCTTTAAAAAGGCTAATACGACACATTAGTTTATGAGTCTTATTTGATTTAATCTTATATGACTCTTAATTTTGATGTCTTATTAACATATCTTGACGTCCTATCATGTAATCTAATACGACACTTTTGAATGTCATATTATTTTATGGTCTAATAGGACATTTTTAAGTGTCGTATTATTTTAAAGACCAATATCTTATTTTAAATGCTAATATGACACTTTCAATTATCCTATTTTTTTAAAAGCTAATACAACACGGTTGGTTGTCCTATTAGAGATTAAGAGCTAACAGGACACTTTTAAGTGTCCATTAAAGTTTAAAAAATATGAACATAATTATATGTTTAGAACTATATTTATATCTTTCAAAGTTTTAAGCTCTTATGATTTATATAAACTACTTAACTTAAAAACAAAATGCATGAACATATAAACAACTGGGCCGAATGACTTGTTTGACGTTGAAAGCCCAAAATGAATAAGGAAAAACACTTGTTTCAGAAAGCCCAAAACCACAAATCCTCAAAGACTGAGAATCCGTTTGCGATCATCATCGAGTTCTCTGCCTGAGAATCCGTTTGCAATCGAAACTTCTACACCCTGAGAATCTCAAAGTCTGGCTGTTTGCGATCGACTCCTCTGCGCTGTTTGAGATCCGTCAAGCCGTCGGTCTTTGAAGCCCTAACTGTTCGTCAAATTCTGAGTTAGAAAGTTTTCGGTTGCAACATTGACGGTAACAAAATCAAACCGACTAGTATTTTTTCTAACTTAAATTTGTAGTGCTGATACCGATATTGGATGATATGCGTAGTAATTATGTTAATTGTGTTAATATGTAGTAATACTGATATCTTAGTATTGAGTTGAAAGTGTGCTTTGATAAGAGTAGCTAACAGAAGGTTGGACATAGTTAAAAGCATTTTTATAATGGTTTGATAGCATGTCTTAGTCATGTAACCATCTGTCTGTATTGGTATGACTATTTCATACAAGATAGCAATTAGCAACTTAGTTGAGTCATAACTTAAGATAGCTATTGGTTTAAGCTTAGACATTCTAAATTAACACCCAATTCACTAAAACCACTGCTCTGAGACAAAATTGAAATGCCTAATTTTCAAGTTAGCATTTATTACTGAAATTTTGACATGACCTATCGATAAAATCATATATTATGCCATTTTCTACAACCTATAATGAATTGTATATAAAACAACTAGTCTGTATATAAACCATTCGTTACAAGGTTCATACCATTCATGTATCAAAAAGTAGGACCATTGCATGGTTAATAGCTTAATAACTTGAATGAATACAAGTACAGGTTGGAACTAGGCTTTGATATCTATGTGAAACCTATGGGCTTCCATCTAATAACCAACCTTCAATGAGAGAGATCACTCTTTGATCATATACACTGATGGAACTGTTATGCACCTAATTTTGTGGTAATAGTTTTTGTTATCATCTTTGATTTCTATGTGTTGTAACTCTGTTTGCTTTCCAATGGTTTTTGATTGTTTGTTTGGTTATCTTCTATGGAAAACTATTGGCATTGTTTTGAAGCTATTTGGGTATCATCATAGTATTGTGGATTTTGTATACTGATCATATTGTTTTTTAATGATTTTAGGAGCAACACCCAAGTCAGTTCTTGAGCTAATGGATGTGAAAGATCTCACCTTATCTCATGTTAAATCTCACTTGCAGGTTAACTTGGCCTCTATTTTTGCAATGTTCAAATTAATCTTATTGATACATGTATTTTCTGTTTTCAAAACATAATTGCTTTGCAAGATGCATTGTCTGTTTTCAAAATATAAGCTTGGCAGTTTATATTTTTATACGTGCAGTTGTCTTGGCATCACAGCAAGCGATTTGGACGCATTTGTAAACCTCTCACTTGGGCCCATGGAGATCTATTCCTAATGTGTATATAAAACTGGCGTTGGGTCTTAGGGTTTTGCAATCGGGTCTGCTGCTCTAGTCTCTCTTGCTCTATTTGGGGCATTTGTGAGCAGAGCTGGGATTGAAACGGTGGATGTGTTGACACCAAAAGTGTTCA